AGCTCATCTAATAATTGATACTCTAATCGCGAAACGGCTGCTGCGAAAAATCTCGCGTTTAAAAAGCAATTTCGGCTCGCTCGCCATGAAAATGATTATACGAGGAGTCGCGCGAGTTACGAGAGGAACAAAACACTCTTCCGTGGAAGGTGTCGTGGGAGCAGGCAGAAAGAAGGCTGAGGCCGAGGGTTGAATGTAAAAAGAAAACGAGTTTAGCATCCCGTCGGAAGGAGCGTCGGCGTGCGGCGCAGATCCTAAAATACGGAAGCTATTAGCCGTAGTTTCCCATGAGCATTACCTTCCCTTATGTGTAAATGATGCAACCCCCCGTGGCGGTTTGTCCGACGTAAACCTCCTGCGTTCAATCTGTACCAGAAATTGAAACCATTAAAAAAGTAACTGCGTAGAAATTATATGTCTATAGGGTGATTTTTAAATAAGTAACGAACAATCACTGAAAAAAATATTTATGTAAAATTACATGATTAAGTTGGGTTTTTTCACCACCAAGCATAATCATGCACTGTAAAAAAATATGTAATATATTACACAAAAATATGTAAAATTACATAAATAATAAGTGTAAAATTACACGATAAATAATAAAAATGATTACCTTTTCATTATTTATCATGTAATTTTACATTTATTATTTATGTAATTTTACATATTTTTAATGTAATTTTACAAAATTTTTTTTACAGTGTGAAATATTGATACTTATATGGAAGATTACAGATTATATGTAATTTCATATATTCTTAAATATTTTCAAGATTAAAAATATTTCATTGAACATGTAATTACACATGGGAAATGTTAGTAATGTATAAATGCTATAAAATAATGTTATAAATAAAATAGATAAATACTTGTAAAATAAAGTTCTAATTGAGTAAAAATAGTAAATTTAAAATTGCATATGATTTTTGCATAAAAATAGTAATTTTACCTATATTTTACGTGTATTTTTACATTAATATGTATTTTCACTTTAAAACAAATGGAAAAAAATTACAGTGATAAGCAAGTAACTTTTCCAGTTCTAAACTAGTAATTTCCATGTAAAAGTCATGGATTTTTTCAGTGATTTTACGAGATGATTCTTTGTCAAAAATTAAAGGGAGTCTTTCATGTAATATATATATATATATATATATATATATATATATATATATTCTTATATCTCTCCCTAAGGAGTTATACTCTTCCAAAGAAAAGATCAATTTTTTTTCAAACTTTAGACAAATTAAAAAAATAAAATTTAGTAAACATTTCCTACGAACAAAACGGATATTTATTAATATTTTTTAATCTCCCATATCGTTTTATATACAATAGAGATGAAATTAATAATTCCTATTCAATTTTTTATTAGAACTGTTTAATCGACCGGAATGTGGCCATCTAAAAATATACGTTAGAATGTTTGATTTTTTAGAAACTTTTTTATTTCTTTCATTTTTTTATAAAATCAATAGTATGCAAAAAAAATAAACTACATTATCGTGTACAGTAAGGTGCTAAATAATATAGATTTCGAATTACGAGAAATTGAATTTTAGGATAGAAAACAGCAAACAAAACACAAAATTATAGTAAAGTTGGAAAAAATAAAATAAAAATTAAAAAAAATAAATAAAAATAAAAATCAAATTTTCACCTTTTTTTGAAAGAGTGTAATTCCTTACAGAAAAATAAGAAAATATGAAAGATCTCCCTCTTAATTTTGAACAAAGAATCATCTCCTAAAATTTTTCGCATTTATTTAAAATCATATACCTATATATAAAGGATCCCTTTTAATGATCAAAACGTGAAAGTAAAAATCTCTCTAAATAAAATCCATATTATATAATATTTTAATTGTATTTTAAATAAAAGCAAATAAAAGTGCATGGTTTATTCATCTACCGTAAAAACTGATATAAATATAATATAAAAATCATATTTTATTTATTAACATTTTCATATAAAAATAATATTACAACAGTTATATTTTTTATTTTATGCATATAGTGGAGCAAAAAGAGTTGGCGTTAATAATTAAATAATTTTTTATTCGACTTTGCGTTATTAAACTGCTCTTTTTACGATTTCTCAGTTTGCAATCCCTGATCTGCAACCATAGCGCGTGCAATCCGCGTTTAAAGCTTACGCATACCCGCGGTCGTTGCGTGCATGTAAGTTATAGTGTTGCAACCTCGGGTGAAAACACAACAAGCGAGTACACCGCGCGGCACTAAAGGGACAACGCACGAGGAATATGTTCACTGTTTAAAGGCACGATGCGTGCCTTGAAATTTATGCCTCACGAGAGACTCGCTGAATTTCGACGCGCGCTTTAAAAATCTACGTTAAAAGCGTTACATCATACAATTTAACGAATTTCAACCACCGAATATGCTGCGCGATATTGATGCCGAGAATTGACACGTACAGTCGATTTTCAAATGCTTCTTTCAAAAATAATATATATTTTAGGTTCAATTTTATCTCGATTAAAACTAAACTTGCTATTATTTTCGTACTGTATATGTACATATATTGTATGTACACTGTAAAACAATATGTAATATTACATAAGAAATATGTAAAATTACATAAATAATAAATGTTTTTATGTAATATTATTACACATTTTTTTACAGTGTAGGGGAAAGTATACTAAATCGTACCCTCTAAGGTAAATATAAAAATTGCAATAAAACTTCCAAAGAAATTACTTTTTTATTCATTAAAATTGTATGGTTCTTTGTCAACGATATACGCTAACATTAACATCATTGTTTCATATCGTAAATTAAAAATTAAAAAAAGAATATTTGGTACGAGTTACAATACCGGTTTGCTAAAATGTACCTATGAATTTTTAAATCATACCTCTAACAATAAAATTAAAAAATTGTAAATAATTGTAATAATTTTTTATTAATTGATATTGTAAATTTTTAGTCTACAACAAAACATATTTATAAGAACGTCATATTTATAATCATAATGTCTCTTCAAAATTTTAATAAGAACATTTTTTGTATCACACAAAAGTATAAATTAGAATTATCTCAATTATAATTATAAAATTTAATATTTTCTTCAATTGAAATATAAAGAAAAAGAAACTAATGTCTAGGTAAAAAATAAATTTAGTAAATCGTACCAGTATGATATAAGAAAAAGTTTGTGGTATTTTTTTTCCAAGCTTTTATTGCTTTGTCAAATTTGTAAATAAAAAATAATCTTAAAATATTTTGCTGATTTTTCAATACTTCCATATACAGAATTAAAGAAGATGAAAAAATGTTTCAATAGTAAGTTTAATTGTTTATCTTTTAACTCTGTTTAAGAAACACATAGAATCACGATTTAACGAACAATTTAGCATACTTTCCCCTACATATTTAACAAAATAGCATATGTCACGTTTGGAATAAAACAATGGCTTCAATATAACACAAGATAGCAGACTACATATATAAATTACGAAAAAGATTCATTTATAAATTCTATTCGCATCGCGGGGATGAAGAAACGACTATATATAGTTGCTGCGCAGCAAATTAAACCGCGTTGCAAAAGAAAAACAAACGTGCGAATGTTGCTCCTGAATAAAGGACATTTAGAAAATATTCCGAATCAATGAATTCTGGCGAGATGGGAAATTACTTCGCCCAATTGTTTCTACCTTTTTGCAATTTTGCGATATGCGCGCAGACCGTAACGAGATAACTAAAACACAACAGCCAGTTTGCTAGACAGAAACAAACCTTCATTTTCTCCATCTCATATCAGCGCCAGTGACACCACCCCCCACGAGCTCCTCACTTTATTTCGCCGAACTCTTTTAGCACATTTTCCTTGTCCTTTTTTTTTTTATTAATTTCTATACCGCTGCTCGAGTAAAGCGTTACATCGGAGGGCTGTCAAAAGAGGGTGAAATTCAACTTTGAATTTCTCATTGCGTTTATCATTATTCTGCCGTTTTTATATATGGGCACACACGTAATTCTTGCCTCTTTCAGAAGTTTTTTCAGAGGCAAAATAGTGTATTTTATTATTATTATAGTTTTTTCCAGCCATTTTCGCTATTATTCGAGATCACGTTGATGAGAGAATCTATATTGTACAGATTGAATAAAAAAGCGCTCTAAAATTGAATTACTACGGATACCGACACGGAGATTCAATGTGAACCAACCCCAAAGTCTTTGACAATAAAATGGAATTTAAAGTCTATATTAGTCTCCTTTTCTCATTGATTTTATAATTTTCAATAACCAAACGACTGCGAACTCGTTGGTCTATTTTAAATACTCAAAAAGATCTTATATATTGTATATATATATATATATATATATCTTTTTCTTATTATATATATATGTATAAACATATATATTTTTAATAATGTTTATATTTTATATTTTATTAATATTATAATTTTTAAAGGAAATAAAATTAAAAATAAAGATAAAAATACACAAAAAGTAATTATTTACTCGTTATCTTAAAATAAATCCAAAAACAATAATTAATATATCAATGCTCAAAAGCTTATCATCATTATAAAAATTAGAAACTTAATATATATTATAATAGTATTTAATAATTAGAAATTTACATACTAATAACATTCTCTTATTTCTGCGACTTTATTATCGTGTTGTAACTTGATAAAACTAATTTAATATCAGATAAATTTATAATAACAAATAAAATAATTTTTACACGATATTATTGACACGTTGAGTGCAAGTGGTATGATGTAAAAAGATATCTTGTGAAAAAGAAGTTACTTCAAGCTAGTGGGATAGTGACATTATCAATAATTTTCCGATAGACATACTTCCGTTTTGATATCGATGTTATAACGAAATAAAGTGACGCAGTCGAAAGCTTCTTATAATAAATGTCAATCACTTTATAATCGAGGCCATGAACATTGGCAGTCACGTTTATTTCGTCAAACGATTGTAAAATGACATATCGGCAGTTTTACTCACAGGTAACCAGGAACAATGAGGGATATTCTTCGCCGCCATCATTTTTGCCGCTAAGAAAAATGAACCATTGTCTAGGATCGACTCTTATTCCATATCTGTAATGCAAAATATAAAGAATTAAATAATTACACAAATTTTAAAAAGATAATTGTTTCATGAATATCTTTGCATACACAAAACCAAATAATAATTGCAATAAACAAATCCAATAATATAATTGCAGTAATTTGTAATAATTTACAACTAAATATGACATTATTATATGTTTTTCATTAACATTGTAGAATAATGATAATAAAAGCAATAATAAAACACATTAATTCTAATGACATATTAACTCTAATAAACGATATGCACGACATGGAAAAGAATAATAAATTATATTATCATAATAATATAGATGGCTAAATTCAATATATGTAAAGCAAACGTATCTTCTCCAAAATTCATATATAATTAACAATTTCAACTATACATATAAGAATTATTTTAAAATAAGCAGAACCCTTGAAAATCGACCACCATATCATTTAAATATGGAAAAATTGATGAAATTCGCCGCTATCTAAATTTATTCTGCGACATTTTATAATTGGCTTTGATTTAATATAGTTAAAATTATTTAACATTTAAATTACCAATAACTATGTAAAGCGTTATTAAAAATAAAACCAGAGTTTCAATTATTTAATGATATAAATTTTATATTTAACAAAATGTGTAATCCTATATCTCTTGCTATACTACGAGTATAAATAAAATAAAACCTAGAAAAAAGATAAAAGAGATAAAGATCAATACATTTTCCATTATAATCTTTAACTTTTCATTGTTCGTGCATTATACGAACATTATCTTCCATTAGCCTCATCATTATAGTCTATTTTTGTTTCTATTACGATCTTCTTTACAGAGATAGTTGAGAAAAACAGGAGATAAAATGAGAGATGTAGAAGGGAAGAGAGTGTTTGCTCATATTCTTTGTTCCTGGGATAAATAATAACCGTCTCAACACACAATTCAAAGGGGAGGAAACTTGTGCTGGGAAACAAACCGATTTTCCTAACAGGATAACTCAAAAAGATGTAGAAAAAAAAAACGTCTGCTTCATGATTGACTGCGATCTTGATTCGAGTCTGTGATTTACTTTGATGGCTCACGTCGGAAAATATTATAAACGACGCCCTCCGACTAAATCATACCGGATTATTTATTGGCAATTTCGTAAAATAGCACTTTCTGTGAACGTATACGCTCAAATCATACATTAATTTCTGTACATAAATCAAACGGAGTTATGTATAGAAATAGGACGCGCAATAAAACAAATGGAATATGCTAAACTATACGATACGATATTCAATTAAGTTATGTTTGTTACCATAATATATAAAGAGCCACATTGATTACAAAAGCGATGTAGAATATATGCAAAGAGGATTTACATAAATTTAATATGTTTCACATAATAGAAAAATATCGACATTAATAAAATCGAAATTATATAGCGTGTGTGTGAGAATATAATTTGTAAATAACGCATATGGAAGAAAATGACTTTTCCGTTAATCCCAAAATGTATATACGCATATATAATAATACATTTGACGACTGTGTTATTACACTATCGTGTTTATGTAAAAATATACATTTTATATGCCTTATCGCTGCATTATCTCGAAAACGCAATTTGCGATGGTATCGATCGAACCCATCGAGAACATTATTTTCTCGCGAGACACACGAGGGTAGGTAGGTGTATCGGCCGAAAAAAAGGTGGCAGACTGTGTACACTAATGGCTTCAGGGGTCGTACGTGCACGCTAACGATGATAAACGAGACTTATGGGTCAAGTAATTAAAGTATTCCAAGTGAGCGCGGTTGTTGCAGAGAGAGAGAGAGAGAGAGAGAGAGAGAAAGAGAGAGAGAGAATATTTATTGGGACACAATCACCGGCCTAGTCCTCTCTACGAAAACGCGATCAGTCACGTTGACGCAGTTACGGTAATTGGACAGTAGCTTGGAAAAAAATATCATTCTCGTTTATAATTAATATATTATTATATAACGCGTCACAATTGCTTGACAATTTATCCCATACAGCACAAAATATTATGAACGTTTTCAAAAGATATTTCTAAATATATAAAATATTGCATTCAAACATTTCAAAATGATTTTAGGAATATTTTTAAATGATTAAAAAATTTTTGGTGTGATAATACTTTTTAAAATATTTTTAAAAACTTTTAACTTTTTTTTCGAGAATTATTTTATCTTTCAAAAAAGATTTTTAAAAATATTTTGTGCTGTATGGGATAAAACTGGCTCACACATTACATGTCAGATAGGCATAAATAATGCAAACTACATCTTGGACATACAGGGTGTAATTGAAAAAAAAACATATATAGGGAGATTAATTTTTGCATGTTACCTAGGTTTTTCATGATTTATTTTTGTAAAACTAAACTTTATAAAAGCCTTAAATTAAAGTTCTACTAAAATAAACCCTATCTGAAATTAACTGAAGAATGTAGTTTTGTTAATATTTTAACTTCAAAGTTTAATTTGTGAAAAGCTCTTTTTTTCGATCATTTATAACTTAAAAATTATTGGTGCCTCGACATTTTCACTGAGAAAAAATTGTTTCCAAATTGAAGAATTTAATGATGTACTTCATATATGTTGTATTTTTTTCAATTACATTCTGTATATTCTTCTGTGGCAATATTTAAAGCTTTAATAATTTAACCTCTTATTGTTATACCTTTTTATCTACAATCAATTAATTTTTATACGCGCGTTATTTTAAATAACCCGTAGAAGAGTAATTTAATTATAGACATAAAAAAGAACAATTAATTTCAATTACTTTATTTTGCGGTCGAGCAAATCTATCAGAATCAAATAGCAGAGAATAGACTTTGCAGTAATCTAAAATAATAGAAGAAATTGTAGATATTCTATTTCTGTGTTCCACTAAAATGCAAATAATAAAACTCATCAAACTCAACACCATTATGCATGAAAAAATACTAATCGATAATCCATCAGTAAGTAAATATTTATTTCAGCGAAATGGAAAGATTAATCGATGAGAAAGGAAATAATCGCTTTCGACATCTGTCAATAGTGTTGTGACACAAATTGCTTAGAAAATTTCAAATTAGCTAAATAAAGATGAGATAAAAACGTGTAAATTTATCTTAGATAAGATGAAAATCATTTTGTTTTAAATATATTTAGATAAAAAATAAAATTACATAGCGATTCTTCTAGATGATAACTTCCAGATAATATTATTTTTAAGACCGCTTATGTAAACACAATTATAAAAAAAATGTAACATATAAAAGAGATATAAAAATATATATTCGTACTTTAATTTGTAAGTTTTTATCACTTAATGCTTAAGTATTTTTATGTACTAAGTATTATTTTATGTGCTGTTTTTTGACTCTAAACCAAATTATATAAATATTATTCTAGATAATTTAGTAAAGATAACACTTTTTTGATCTAAGATACAGATAGAAATAATACATACATATTTTTATTATCTACAGTGTGTCCCCCCGGAAATTGCTGGAATTAATCAGCTGTTATTTTTTTAATGCATGCAGTTATTGAGAAAACAAAATTGGGGTTGGAAAGAGGAAAGTCTACAGTTTTAAATTGGATATAAATTGGTTTTAATTGGATATAAATAAAATGTTTGTATACCAGTTTATTTGATTGATAAAAAGTAATGAAAAAAGTGCTAATAATCACATAAAATTACATAAACTAACGATAAATATTTTCAACAGTGCCAGATTTAATAGCAGCTATTAAAAAAATCGTCAATAACATTAAAAATGACATGTTAGAAAAAGCTTTTACGAGTTTTCGTAAAAGAACAAAATTTCGTACAAATTCAAATGGTGCGCACTTCGAAAATATTTATCATTAGCTTACATATGTGATTATTAGCACTTTTTCATTACTTTCTTTCAATAAAATAAACTACAAACATTTTATTTATATCCATTAAGGGGATCCCTCAGCAAATGACAAACTCCGACAAAATAAAGATACACATATCTAAAATATATGCACGTATACACGTATACACAACGCATGCATACATTATAGAACTTATAAATATGGAAGGAGAATAGAAAAAGTCATCTTGGACACAGTTTTGCGCTCCTATTCTTCTTCCATATTTATAAGTTCTATGACACACATACGTACGAATCGTATTTCTAATTACACATTTTTATTAAACTTCTAATCCAGATTTAGAGGATAACAGTGCTTTCTTTCGTGTTCCCTAATCCTAGGGAATGTACTTTTTTATTCGTACAAAGTGTATATGATTTATATGAAGCATATATTATGATGAGATTAGGTTTAATTAAATTACTTTTTTCTTTTTTTAATAAAATAAGCTGACATACAAACATTTAATTTATATTCATTAAAAACTACAGACTTTCCTCTTTTCAACACAATTTTTGTTTTCTCAATAACTGCATGCATTAATAGATAACAGCTGATTAGTTTCATCAATTTCTTATAGGACACCCTGTATTTTAATTTATTATTTAGATAACAGCAAACACTACCTGTCAACGATTAAATCCAACTTCGCGATATACGCGTGTACATAGTGCTGAATCTCGTAAAGCCCTTTTCAAGTATACTTGAAAGTTAAGGGAATATCGCACTTATCGAAATTCATCGCTTCGAGACGTGAGCGGAAACGATATTAAATTTCTTTCCACGGCGGGGAATAACCGCGCCTTCTTCTTGATCCGAGAACGCCCGTTAAACCCACGCTCGTTCTTTGCTCACCCCGGAGTTCGTTAATACAACGTCACACGATAAAATCCCCAATTTCACATCGAACGTGGTGAGAGGCGCCCCAGGCGTTAAAGCGCGCGAGAGTCCAGATTGGAAGAGTTATGGCGCCAATATGCGACGGGTTCGGGATGAAAATGTGGAATGATTCGCATTAAATATTAATAAAACGCGCGGAAAGCGGGAACGTCTTCCTCTGCGATTATTGTAAAGAACGGTGATTCTTTTTCTCGGAAATTAATGAAAA